CTGGGATGCCCCTGTGTGGTGCAGACTCCTAGTGTTCCGTTGCCCCAGGGCAAGGATTTTATCCAGATGCTCATCCAGTATATGAGCAACCCAATCCTGGAATCCCATTTTGATTGTCTGTTTTCTGGGGCCACTTCTAGTGGCAATTACTGTATCAGTCAGTGTTCTGGCAAGAAACAGGTGGCATACTCAGAAAGATGGTTGGAGGGATGTTAGTAAATGGACTGTTCACAAAGGAAGGGCAGAGGTGAGTGAATACTTGAGGCGTGGTGACGCACTGATGGACTTTTAGCTGCAGGAAGCTGCTACCACTTCTGGCCTTGAGAGGACAAAGGGAGGGAGTGGTGATTGGGAAAGAGACTTCCTCAGCAGAGGAATGAAGCCACTGCCAAGACACAGGCCTGAAGAGAGGGGCCTCAGGAAATAAAAGCTCTGACCTCTCTCCTCCCCTTCTCATCTCTACAGGTGTCTCCTATGAACCTAACCAGGTGATGCATTCTGTAGATGAACACTTCCGGGGCACACAGCAAGGCAGAGAAAGGTGGAGAGGATCCAGGAGTCCAAAGGGAGGCTCTTCTACACGTGTGTCTAAACACCAGTGGTAACCAGAGGACACGGTTTTGTAAAACTGAAGAGTCACAAAATAGAAAACATAAAAATGTAGCTCTTAAAGAAGTGTTCAGGGAAATTTTAAAGTTTTACTGAAAGACATTAAAGAAGACCTGAATAAATTGGGAACTATTTACCATGTTCATGGATAGGAAGGCTCAGTGGCAGAAATATGTCAATTCTCCCCCAAATTACCCTACAAAAGAAATTATCATTAAAGTCCCAGCTTTTTAAGAAATGTAACAAGCTAATTCTAGAATTTGTACAGCAGAACAAAGGCTGGTTAATAGCCCAGACATTCTAGAAGAAGGAAGAGAAGCAGGAGGCAGAAGGAAGCTGTCCTAGGAGGTATCAAAATGGATTATAAAGCTATAGCCCTTGACTCTGGGATATTGGTATGGGGATAGACAAATTCACCAACGAAACAAAACATGAAACCTTGACCTCTGAGAGTGTTGGCACTGCTGAGCAGTTGGAAAGAGAAGCATCTTTTAACAAGTGTACTAAAACTTACGAAAAAACAAACAAAACAAACCCTTAAATCAGACCCCTGCCTTATGCTGAAGGAAAAAATAATTCCTGATCCAAATAGTCCGATGACTATTTGGTGAATTCAATACCTACATTGTGTTTGTAAAGGATAAAATCAGTAAACCTGCCACCTCTCCTCTGGTCCGTCTGGGAAGGTGTGAGCAGGAGTCAGGGTGCTGGGAGATAACACATATGGTGATGAAAGGAAAGACACTTGGGAAGCCAGACATGAGGACAAGGTGTTCAGCCGAGCAAGCCATCTGACCACCAGGGCACTGATCTGATAACCCTGAGAAGGGCAGAGGGGGCTGAAGGGCAGAAGAAGGAAAGGTGGGCCAGAAAAGGGGGTTTCAACCCAAGAGTGGGCATTGGGAGCCAAGGCAAGGGGCAATAGTGAGCCATCGTCATCATGGGGCCCTAAGGAGTTGAGTGGGTTGGCCACAGAGGGAGGGCAGAGAAAGCAACTTTGGCAGGAGAATTGCAGAAGGGACGAATCTGGAGGCTGGGGGTCCAGCCAAGTGTATTTCTGTAGAGAGTGTAGACTGAAGAGGGAATTCTAACCTAAACACCAGCTCCTCCACCTCACTGCTTATACTCACTCAGATACCCAGCACCAACGTGCAGGGTCCCGACCCTGCCTGTCACCTGAGTGATGTCATCTACCCATGGAATCGACATTGTTTCCAATCTGTTTCCACGTTGCCATGGGAGGTGAGCTCTTTTGGCCTTTCTGTGTCTGGGTTTC